ACGAGCTGAGGCTCAAACTGCCATTTGGCTCTCAGTAGTGCAACATTACTGTTGAGCACCCTCAGCATCCTTACCCATATTGTTACCTTTCAAGTGTTTCTAGAGTTAACATGACTCGTAAACATAAATGGCTTTTTCCATATTTATACTTTCAATCTGTTCGAATTGTCGCTATTGAATGCCTACATGCCAGGGCACCATGATCTATCACATACAAATTATATATACTCCAGTTAACCTTCAATGTGAGTATCTAATGCCGCTTTGATAGATGAGGGAACTGGAGCCAGAACAAGAGGTTTGGGGGGCTTGCCCAAAGAATACACAGCCTCTAAGAAGCTTGAGCTGAGATTCCACCCCCAGGTCTCGTCTGCCTCGGTAAAGCTAACTGTGCTCTGCCTAGGCCACAAAGGCTTCCTTTTGCAATGACTCGGTTTTATTTCTTTTTTTTTTTTTTTTTTTTTTTTTTTTTGAGACAGAGTCTCGCTTTGTTGCCCAGGCTAGAGTGAGCTGCTGGCGTCAGCCTAGCTCACAGCAACCTCAACACTCCTGGGCTCGAGTGATCCCTGCCTCGCGCTCCCGGTAGCTGGGACTACAGGCATGCCCACCCATGCCGGGCTATTTTATATAGTAATATCAGTTGGCCATTAATTTTCTTTGTTTATAGTAGAGACGGGGGTTCGCTCCTTGCTCAGGCTGGTTTTGAACTCTCTGACCTTGAGCCATCCCCGCCTCGGCCTCCAAGAGCTAGGATTACAGGCGTGAGCCACCAGCGCCCGCGCTGGTTTTTTTCTGTGTGAGTTATACTTTCCGCCTTGCAACTGGGAGGGAGTTGCTTGTCCTCACACTGGTGTATTGTCTGGGTGGCAAGGCATGACAAAAATCGAAAAGGCTGACTTTGATAAAGTTACTAATATTCTCTTATTTCTGGAAATCCTGTGATAATAAAGAATTGTGTCTCGAAAATACAAGAAAAGAGTAAATGCACAAAAATACGAATATAATAAATGGCCATTATATGCTAGGAGACACAATAAAGTCCCCTTTTAGTTTTCAAAAAATTTATAAAATTTTAAAGAGGTCTGGCTTTAACACCCAGCTGATCTTTTTTTTTTTTTTTTTTTTTTTTTTTTTGCAGACAGAGTCCTCGCTTTGTTGGCCCAAGGCCTCAGAGTGAAGTGTAGTGGCATCAGCCTTAGCTCACAGCCAACGCTCAAATTCTCTGGCAACAAGCAATACCTCCTGCCTCAGCTCCCGACGTAGGCTTGGGACTCACAGCATTCCGCCAGCCCATCGCCCTGGCTACATTTTTTGTGATATGATGTTGGCCAATTAATTTCTTTCTATTTATAGTAGAGATGGGGTCTCCGCTCTTGCTCCAGGCTGGTTTCGACTCCTGACCTCGAGCAATCCGCCCACCTCAGCCTCCCAAAGAGCTAGGATTACAGGCGTGAGCCACCTGCGCCCGGCCAACCCCATTGATGCTTTAGCCAAATTACTTCAAGCTCGATTTTCCCCATCATTAGAATGGGAAAAATCCTATTTCTCTTGCTGTTGTGAAATTAAGTGAGACAGAGGACACTGTAAAAAGTAACTATTACCCTACTCATGACCATATAGGAAGATATGGATGAATATATTAGAAACATGATCATACAGGCCGGGCACAGTGGCTCACACCCTCTAAATCCTAGCCCTCTGGGCGGCCGAGGCAGGTGGATTGCTTGAGCTCAGAGTTCAACGACCAGCTAACGTAAGAGCCCGGAGACCTCCATCTCTACTAAAAATGAAAAATTAGCAGGCATAGTGGTGCATGCTGTGTCCAACTCTCCCCCAGGGGCCTGAAGCTGAGGATCACTTGAGCCAGCAGGAGTTTGAGGTTGCTTTCACAAAGGCCGATGCCACAGCCACTCTGGCCTGAGCCAACAGACAAGCACGCTGTCCCATAATAAAATTAGATCATGTTCCTCTCTGGGTAGTAAAATTTTTTTTTCTAGTTTTGATCTTTTTGGATGTTTTTTAGAGTAATATTTAGAAAGTAGAACTACCTACCATATTTATAACAAGGCAGGCTGTCATTGGAAAACTTCCTAGGTCTACATTGCTTTGAGAACCTGACACATGAAGTGTCACATGTGCAAAAACCTCTGCAGTTCTTTGGAAAAATCTTCATTACAGAGAACTGGGTCCAGTATCAGTTGCAAAACAAACAAATTGCGATCACGCCAAAGAAATGAAGAAAGGGACTGCGATATATTTTAGCCCAATCCAGGAAGCAGTGAACTGAGATGGAGCCGATCGAACATAAGGACTAAAATTGTTATCTCCTTCTCCTGTTCACTGCCAATTTCCAGATCCTGTGTAGTTTTCACTCTTTTTATTTTTGAGACAGAAGTTGTGCTCTGTCACCCCCTGGGTGAGTGCAAGCATTATCCTACAGCTCTCACTGACTGGAACTCCCAGCTCAAGTGAGTCCTCCCTGGCCTCCAGCCCCTCCATTAGCTGGGATTACAGGTACATTGCCAACAGGTCCAGCTAATTTTTTCTGTTTTTGGTAAAGATGGACTTTGCTTTTGCTCCAAGCTGGTCTTGGACCTCCTGACTCCAATGATCCTCCCTGGCCTCAGCCCCCCAGAGCATTATGATTCAGAGCATGAGCCCCCGTACCCAGCGCAGTCCTCACTCATAATTTAGGGATGGAGTTGGGAATATACGTTTAACCCAGGAATTTTAATTTTACTACATCTAAAGAACTGGTGATTGATTAGAAACGTAAATATATACCAGAGTTTGTTGAATAACCCTGAATCATTAGAACAAAGATACCAATCAATTAGATTTCGGGGAAGGGAGGTGGCATTTTAGAGGAATTCAGTACTGATTTTGCTTAGCTTTGTTACCTCCTGAAATTCAAACAGAAATCTGAATGGCAGGGATCAGATTTTTAGCTTTAATGGTAATTAGATGGATTTTATACTCCATTTTTTATAGTGACATTCAGCTGACGTAGCAAGAATTTGTGGTTAAGGCTTAAGCTACCTTTGTAGAGCTAATCAAATATAATTAACACACACGGTAACACCTGAACATCTCACACTCGCTTGTCTAACCTGCTTTCTCTCATCTCTTTACCATTACAAAAAACGAACCAAAGCCCATAAAATAAATAAACCACAAAACATAGAGAAGGGACAATAACAAACAACACTAAATAACAACAACATACGACAATAAATATACAATAATCAAAAAACAAGAAACACTCAGAATCAAAAACAAGAAACAATAATCCTACATAA